GGGCAGTGTCACTGGCCCTCATATGTGGGATCCGAACCGGGGCCCTCTGGTGTCCCAAGCCAGTTCTTAACCATCGCGCCACTCGGCCGGCCCTCTCCTTCAATTTTAAATGATAGCTTTGCTGGATAGAGTAGCCATGATTGTAGGTCCTTGCTTTTCATCACTTTGACTATTTTGTGCCAATCTCTTCTGACCTGCAAAGTTACTGTTGAGAAATCAGCTGACAGTCTTAGGGGAGCTCCCTTGTAGATAACTAACTGTCTTTCTCTTGCTTCTTTTAAGAGTTTTCCTCTGTCTTTAGCCTTTGGCATTTTAATTGTGATGTGTTTTGGTATGGGCCTCTTAGGGTTCATCTTGTTTGGGATTCTCTGTCTTCCTGGGCTTCTATGTGTATTTCCTTCACTAGGTTAGGAAGGTTTTCAATCCTTATTTCTTCAAATAGGTCCTCAATCTGTTGTTCTCTCTCTTCTACGTTTGGTGCCCCTAAGATGTGAATATTGATATGCTTAATGTTGTCCCAGAGGTTCCTTCAACTATCCTCATTGTTTTGGATTCTTTTCCTTTTTGCTGTTCTGATTGGGTGTTTTCAGCTACCTTTTTTTTTTTTCTAATTTGCTGATTTGATCCTCTGTTTTATCTTATCTGCTGTTGATTTCTTTTAATGTATTCTTCATTTCAGTTACTATATGCTTCACTTCTGACTGGTTCTTTCTTATGGTTTCTATGTCATTTTTTATGCTTACTATCTCTTTGTTAAAGTTCTAAGTTCCTTAAGCATCCTTATAACCAGTGTTTTGAACTCGATCTGGTAAATCACTTGCCTCCATTTTGGTTAATTCTTTTTCTGGAGTTTTCTCCTGTTCTTTAATTTCGGACATGTTTATTGTTTTCTCATTTTGGCTGCCTCGCTGTTTCCATGTATTAAGTAGATCTGCTATGTCTCCAAGTCATGCCAGGTGGCTTTATGCAGTAGGTGTCCTTTGGGGCCCGGTGGGACTACTCTTTTGTGTGCCATGATGGGGGCTAATTGGGTAGTAGTTTGTTGTGGTTTGAAGCTGGCCACTGGGTGTGTTAGTTCTGGGACCTTTGGCGAGGGACTCCTGAGCAGGCCAAGGTCAGCTGCTGCCTGTGACTAGCCCAGGACTACCTGGTAGGAGCTACAAAGTGATCCATTGTTGGACACTGCTTGTGCTGGACCTAGAGGTGAATGGGAGAGGTCTCACTGTTAACTAAGGCCAGTTGTCACCAGTACCGGGCCTGTGGCAGTTCTGCAAAAATCCCAAGGCACCCTGAGGACTGCCACCATATGCTACCTGTCCATAAGTTTCAGCAGCTGAAACAGCCTCAGGTGCTATGGAGTTGGGTGGGGCAGGGTCTCAGGGAGTCACCAGGGTAGAGTGAGCAGAGCTCACCAGACCAATGAAAATTCAGATTTGGCTGTGTGGGAAGTGGTGTTAAACAGGTAAATGCTGATTCAGATTTGACCCCAGTTCTGAGCCTGGGCCCACTCTGCAAAATTCTTAGAACACACCAAGACCAACCACCACCTACCTGGGGCCCACAGACACCCAAGAGTTGTCCAAGAAAGACTGGAGCAGAGGCCCATACTTACTGTCTTCCAGTTATAGAAAACACCTCTGGTGTTATACAAGTTGGATGAGGCAGAGTCCCAGGGAGTCACCAGGGTAGACTGAGCAGAGCTCCCCAGGCCAATGAAAATTCAGATTTGGCTGTGTGGGAAGAGGGATGGTGCCTGCCTGCCAGCTCTGTGGGAGGAGTGCTTAACACAGGAAGAATGGCAGCTTTCCCTCCAGCTTTTGCCCTGAAGCCAAACAACTGAATCTCTCCCTGTATGTCTCTGGAACCTCATGAGCCACAGTTCCTCTGCCTGAAGCCCAGCGTGAGTGCCTGGTTGTTAGCAAGTCTCAGCATGGGCCCTTTACAAGGACACTTGGGTTTCTAGCTGCCTTCCTTCTCACCCAGATGGATGTAATCACTGATTTTCACAGCCAGATGTTGTGGGGGCTCGTTTCTGGCATTGGTGCTCTGGGCTGGGGAGCCCATTGTGGGACTGGGACCCCTTGCTTTTCAGGGGAGACCTCTGCAGCTGAGATATACCTCCCAATTCTTGACTGCTACAAGCAGGTGTGGGGGCCAGCCCATTTCACATTTCTACCCCTCCTCTATCAGTTTTGATGTGGCTTCTTCTTCATTTCTTTAGTAATTAGACTTCTGTTCAGCTAGTCTTCAGATGGTTCTCCTGGTTGATTATTCTATAACTTAGTTGTAATTTTAATTTGGTCACAGAAGGTAAGCACAGTGTTTACTTATACTGCTATCTTGACTGGAACTAGAATTCACTTTTATTATTGTTTTTCTCTTGCAGAATATTCTGAAGCTCTTCCTGGTCTCCCTACTTCATATGCTGCTTTGCTAAGAATTAAGAAGAGTTCATCTTCATCTCTCTTTGGTTCAAAAACAAGACCACGATACAACAGCCCTTCATTAGGAACACTGAGTGTTTCTTCACCGAACTGGCGAGGGGCAGCTCAACATTACTATTCCCCCATCAATCTTTATCATTCTTCAGATGCCTTCAAACAAGATGGTAAGTGTCAGAGGAAAATTACACCTGTTGGAGTTAAATAGGCAAGTAAGACTTTATTCAAGAGTATTGCAATAGGGGTCAAGACTCAACAATAGTGGAGAGGTTAAACTCAACTACCCTGTAAAAGAAAATGGGAGAGTTTTAAGATCTGGGAAAATGGAGGACATTAAGGACGAGTTTGGTCAATGTGATTAGGTCATCTGTATTTACTAACTGGTGTTTTTCAAAGTTAGGCTCTTACCTTCCTATAGAGACCAGAAGATAGGGGCCCTCTTTTTCTTGATGATTACATTTCAAAGAATGGCTCCCATTTCTTGAGCGGTCCTTGAGAAAAACATTTTTGGGCAAGAGACTGGAAGAAAATTTATATGTCAGAGGAGCAGAGAAGGAATTTATAATTGCAAAATCTATAAAGTAAATGCTTTAAGAAAAGGGAGTTTAGGGGACTATAGATAGTAAGAAGCCTGTCTAAAGTAGTTAAGCTGAGAAAAATGTTAAGGCTGTCTTGGTCAAAAGTTAGTCTTCCACACATATTTCAAAATATTTTTATTTATTTAATTATACCAATTCTGATTTAGGATTAAGACTAAATAAAGTCATAAGAAAAATATAGAACTTCTGAAGGACAATTTGACAATGAATATTAAGAGCCTCATAATAGTCATATCCTTCAACACCATAGTGATATCAGTTAGATGAAGGACTACTATGCAGCTATTACCATTATGGTTTAAACGTTTTCTGAACATTCTCTAACTTTTGTCAATTTTGGATATATCAACAAAACAAGGTTAATTAACAGAGAAGAACTAGCACCTACTGTATTTCCCCATGTATAAGATGCACCTTAATTTTGGGTACCGAAACTTGAAAAAAAATGTATTACATAAAGTTATTGAACTCAAGTTTTATCCATCATAAAATTCATACAACTCCTCATCACTGTCAAAATTCCCAACCATTAGCTTGTTCTCATCTGTGTCTGATGACGAATCACTGTCTTCATATATTGCCTCTCATGGCCTTCTTCTGCCGTGGTGTTTTCGGTAGGGTTTCTTCTTCCCTTAGCCAGTTTTGGGTTGTTTTCTCAGTTAGAGGAGGACCAAGCTTACGTTCAGCAGCACGATTTCCATTCACTTTTGCAAACTGGATCACTTTTAACTTGAATTCAGCACTGTACGAAAATCTTTTCTGAGCCATTTCTGGGCAGAATGTGGCAAAACGTAACCTACCATAATATACCAGTAACAAGTGCGAAACAATGAGCGCAAAGACGACAAGTGCGAAAAAGTGGGAAATGCAAATAAAAATATCTACAACCACTGTATAAGACGCACCCAGTTTTCAGACCCCAAGTTTTTCGAAAAAGGGTGCGTCTTATACATGGGAAAATACGGTAATTATTACCAGGTTCTATGCCAGGCTCTCTTGTATAATTTCTATCAATAATACTCTCAATAAACATGAATGTGAGGTAGATATTCTTACTGTCTCCAGTGAAAATGGAAACGGAAGGGCTGATAAGTACCTTTGAGTAAGTCACACTGCTAATAAGTAGTGTTAAAGAACAAAATTTGGCACAGTAAATTTGAATATCTAATTGGCTTTATTAAATGATTCATGAGTAGACAAGCATCCCATTTTGCAACTAGAAAAACTCTTGGAGGGGTTATACAAAATAAAAGTTTTTATAGGCAGTAAGGTATGGCAGGGGAGTTAGTAGCAAAAGAAAAGAAAGGATTATTTTTAGGCCAAGTCATTTTCTTTTGAGAGGAAGGAGATGGCAGGGGTTTTATCTTGCAGATTACCTCACTGGTATTGAACAGGAAATTTCAGACTGATTGGTTTAAAATTCCACTCCTGGGAGAGGCTGAAACTGCACTGGATTAGTTATTAAACTTTGGTTGGGTGACATCGCTCAGGAAAGTGACTCCATTTGGCCTGTTTTTTGTTTTGTTTTTTCCTTTTTGAAACAATTTCCATCTTTTGATTAAACTCTTAGTCTCAAGGATATGATCAAAATTTAAGACATTAGCGCCACTCTCAGCTATTGCTCTATAGTTCTCCCAGCTTTTACTGATTCTGTGTGATATTCACAGGTCATGTTTTTGTTTAATCCCTGTGATAATTACTCACAGGGCATGGCTTCATGTTCGTAATCCTTAAATCGGTCTTTTATTCATTCCCTTTTTGATGTTCCCTTCTTAGGAAGATTATTTTCTTTGCAATTAGTGGCTGCAAACATGCATTTAAAGCTTTTGAGAGGGAGATTATTATGATAGCTTTAAGAAGGATAATACCCAATGTTTGGGCTATGCTTCACAGCCATAGTCCCCAAGATCCAAACCAGTCAAAGAAACCTCATTAAAGTAGTTACCCTTTTATGCCAAATGACTTGCTCATTCATCTTATGTATGTAACTGAGTTTCAACTTCCCCACACTTGTTGATCCATACAGAAACAGCAGGTGATGTTGGCTACAGCACAGATACCTCTTTGCTCAAGTAAAATATAACCAAGGGCTATTCAATGTCTCTAAGAGTTAAGGAAAGGTTATTCTTATTTACATTTACTGCTAACCAGGAAAGGAGGGCCCTGCCAAAGTTAGCAAAACCTGATTTATGGGGACTCCTGGTAGATCCTTTCTAGAATAGTTAGGGGGACAATCTAAGAAGCATTGCCCAGCTGTTCACCAGCAATCTAGGCAATTATAAGCCCAAGGAGAAAGATAGCTACAATAGACAAGTATAAATCCAGTTAGGGCACAGTTGCCCATTCAAGCCAAGGGTCAGTTAGGTTTTCTCATAGCCTGAAATAAAATAGTTCTAAATTCCAGGGCTACCCCCTTAGCAATGGGCTGGAAGATATAGATAATGGCATTATCTTTTCAGACCAATGCCAGAATAAAAGAAAGAAAGAAAAGAACAAGGGGTTTTATGTTTAGCTAAAGTAGGAAGTCTTGATCTAGCATCTTGGGTGGAAGCAGTCTACAACTATGTCAATTACTCCTCTCCCTAGTCAATTTGATTTGAAGGTCTCCAGGGTTTTTACAGAATCAGATGTCAGGTACAGCCTTCTTTAACTGTGAGATGTGTATCCAAGGCTCAACGCCTTCTAGTTTTACAGCTGTGTCAGTTGTCAGTTGTCAGGCGTAGTTGCTAAGATCCCTTTTAACAGGGCTCGAGGGCTGTCCTCTGATGATGTTTCCAGAATACACAGACACCAGGCTTTAGACTGTAACCAAGAGTACCCCTTGAGTGGAGGTCTGGAAAATCCTCCTTACTCTGTTAGTAATAGGCTTGAGTATAAGGCATTAAAGACTTAGTAGCTAGTCATACTAGCATGAGACAAGGGATCAATGGAAGGGTATATATCAATAGACATTTTTCTACCAGTGACTACCTCGTGTGGAGTGAAAACACATTTTCTAACTGTTTCTTTGCCATAATGGGGGTATCAGCCTTGCAGCAGGAGAAGGCTTCAACCTATCTGGAAAAGATACATACTACAACAAGAGCATATTGGCAGTAGAATGAAGTCCACCTACAGCTGCTCAAAGGGTTCAGAGGAAGGAGGCTTGAGTAAGGCCTCTAGGGACATTTTTATTAAATGCTCTTTTCTGAAATGGTGGGTGAAAGAATGAAAAACACCACCCCCCACCCACCCCTCAAAAAAAAAAATAAATAATGGGGTTTGCCAGGGAGCTTGGAAAAACCAACTGGCTTTCTTGGGTTTCTCATAGCCCTGACTATTTGTTTAATTTACAGCCATTGTTTACCCACCTTAATTTCTCTAATTCAGAAGTAGACTGCTGCCATGTTATAAGGACATCAGGATGGCCAAACACTGGCACTGAGGAGTCACTCTCTGCAGAAGCAGAATGAATTTCATCCATATGTGCCACAATCTTTATAGATTTTGTTGTTGCTGCCTTTGCATGAAAGTCAGCTAGGGCATTTTCCTAATACTTGGGTTTAGTCCTTTTAGTGTGAACCTCAGTCTTGCTGACAGACAACGTCTTAAGCTAGGGCATATCAGACTTCCGGGAACCTTACATAATTTCTGAAGCTCTTTTAACATATATAGACATGATAAAAGAAAGCTTAATATTATTTCTTATTTGACCATGCTTCCCATATAATTTAACATATCAAATAAGCCTCATTAGTTCAACATCTCCCTTTTTATAAGTAGAGAGACAAATCCTTTGATATTTTCCCAGGACCCTCTGAAAAATGTCAGAGTTAGTTGAGGGTCAAAAAAACACTTTATTTAGAATTTGATTCTTGAAATGTGTTTCAAAAATATCAAAAGACTCTAAAACATGTGGCTTAATAGGATCACAGGTTATTATTAAGCAGCACTTAATTATTTGACCAAAGTGACATTAAAAGATTTCAAAGACAAATATAGAAGGTTAGCTATTACTGTTGAGAAGATTCAGGTTTCTTAACTAATCAAAGATCGGTTGAAGCCAGCATAAAACAAAAATATTATTTTGATAAAACATAGAATCTTTGCCTTCTTAACAGATTACTCAAAAAAAAAAAAACTTTCAGCAGATGCAAGAAAATTCAGTTTTGGTTTTACCTAAGTGCACTGTACAAAAGGAACCAACTTTCTTCTACCTTAAGGTTCTTCTGGCCAATCTAATAATCAAACAGACATGAGACAGATTAGCAAGAGAAAATAAACAAATTTAATACATACGTATATATGGGAACCATGCATACATGAGAAAGCCACATGCATAAGAGGTTGAGAGACAGAAAGGGAGAGCTAAGAATAGAAGACATCCTGAGCTAGGGATGAGGTAATTGGACTGGGGCTTCAAAGAGTCATTGAAGGATGATAAGAGCAAATGTTACTAAATAACCTGTCATATAGGTGAGTAAAAAATACATCATTGCTGATAATCTCTTAAAATGGGCAAGGCTCCCAATTCAAGTTGTTCTAGGCAGTTTCTAGAGAGAAGTTTCTTTCGAGGGTGAAGATCAAAT